TCAATACCAGCATGCTTCGAAACATAAGACAAGATATCATCTACGGATATATTAGGGGAAAGCAAAGAAATATGCAGCCACTTCATTTTCGGTATAACAGTCAGTTCATTATTATTGATGTTCTTCACACCGATGACCAAGGGTTGTTTTAACTTCCTGCGACTACCTTTGGAGACAGTATTCCACTTGGGTGTTTGACTAGCACTTGATATATTCGCATTGACAGCAATAGGATCATCAGTCCGAACATTCTGAGCAGATGGAATAGACGACAAAGTAGGCAAATCGGCAGCAACACTAGAATACGTTGTTTGTTTATTAAGGCTCTGTTATGCATACTTGGCAGTGCATTGCACATTTAAGCAGTGCATGTGAAACTTTGTGCTGATTATACTTCACACAGCACATACAATATTTCAAAATCAGCTGTTTGCAGCTTACATTAATTTTGCTATTATTTTGATCATTTCAAAATCATAAAATTTTCTCCAAAACCGCAGAGTAAGTGAAATATTAATGAAAATAACTTTAAATTAAATGAATATTATCGCTTGGCGCGCAATATCTATTAATACGTTAAATGTAATACCACTTCCATACNTATTAATGAAAATAACTTTAAATTAAATGAATATTATCGCTTGGCGCGCAATATCTATTAATACGTTAAATGTAATACCACTTCCATACGAAGAGATATCGAAATACAATATATTTTCACAGGAGTTAAATCGGCCAGGACATGGATGAATCATTTTTGGATTTGGTTTTCATTAATATTTGCCGACTTCAAAATAAGCGAAAACAATGCAGGCGGAATCGTCACTGGGCGGAATCGTCACTGGGCGGTTCATCCCGTTAATAGAGATCGGTTGCCAAATGGGTATTTTAAGAAAGTCTTCTTAAAATCAAAACCCGTTGATAGTAAACTTTTTCTATTAACAAAGATGAACCGTTCAGTGTACAATTTGTTAATCAATTTATTGCGAGCTTTCCTCGAAAAGCCCAAGCAACAAATTAGTGCAGAAGAGCCCCTTGTAATAACGTTAATGTAATGAAATTATTGCTTCGATGCATAAAATGGGCAGAACAACGGTCCGCAACATTGTGTTTGAGACGTGTGAGCTATTATGGACCACCTTATCACCAACATATCTCAGCGAACCGACTACGACTCAATATAAGCATATTGCGGATGATTTTTTTAATCTGTGGAATATCCCAAATTGTGTCGGAGCGGTTGATGGAAAGCACGTTGCCATCATATGTCCTAAAAACTCTGGCTCGTTGTACTACAACTATAAAAAATTTTATAGTATTGTATTGATGGCAACCTGTGATGCGAAGTATACGTTCACATCAGCCAGTATAGGAAGCTATGGAGGACAAAGTGATGGAGGTTACAGTAAACGGTTTGAAATCTTTTGATATTAAATAATTTTTTTTTTATTTAAAGGTGTTTTCCAACAATCAGCCTTCGGACGTGCTCTTCTAGAGAATAGATTGCCACTACCACCGAAAGCCCCTCTGTGGAATGGAGACACAGAGAATTTCCCACATTTTTTTGTGGGCGATGCTGCGTTTCCTCTCAAGGAAAACTTAATGCGTCCGTACCCTGGCACCCAACTTACTCGAAGCAAGGAAGTTTTCAATTACCGGCTATCGCCAGCTCGCCGCGTAATAGAAAACAGTTTCGGAATTTTAACTGCTCGGTGGCGTGTCCTGCGGCAAGCAATTGACTGTACTCCAGAAAATTGCGAGAAAATTGTGTTGGCGTGTTTAGTTCTGCACAACTTTGTGATGCTTAACGATCACAAACGTTGGTATTGCCCAGATCAATATGTGGACGCATATAGCACGGAGTATGGCACAGTAAATGGAGAATGGCGTAATGAGTTGGAAAGTATTGGTGGTCCATTGCCATCAATAACTTCTTCACGACGCAACGCAACTTCTGCAGCATTTCGTATGAGGGACAGATTGGCGGATTACTTTTTAAATCAAGGGGCGGTTACATTTCAGTAAAATAAATATAGTTATAAATATATGTATATCGTCGCCTAAGAGAGTAAACTTGTTAACCCTCCACAGAAATTTTTTACCGCAGATAAGAAACTGCTAATATTCTTGTTAGCAAGTGGTTTACTTTATAATACGGTGTACGCATTAGGCGATTTTCCAGCCAATTTTAGAGGCGATTAGTTGAATCAAAAGTTGGCCGCACCCCAACTTCATTGGAAGCAATTAGTTGAAAGGCCGTTCACACCAGGCGATTTTGCTTTCAACTAAAAGTTACCTGTAAAATCGCCTCACGCGTATAAGCAACACTGCGCTGAAAATTTGCTATGAGGGGTTAACAAATTTACACTCTTAGGCAAATTCATATAATAATGTGCAAATTTCAGATCTCTAAAAACTCGCGTTGATTTTTGAGAACTTTTTTGCTGGCTGTCCTGCGATTTTTTTTTATATAAAACAATTCTGAGTTTTATATGGAAAAAATGCGTAGGATAGTCAGCAAAAAAATTCTAAAAAATCAATGCGAGTTTTTAGTGACTTGAATTCTTTTTCGTATTAAAAAGTTCGAGAGTTTACTGAAACTTTCCAGATTTGTCTTAATTTTTGTACACAGTATCATTCTTGGATTTAAATGGGATTTGCTAAAATATAAGCCAAATCGTAATACAAAATTAACAAAAAATTTTAGCATGTAAAACATTGTGAATATTAACTAAAAAGAGCCGTGCGCTCAATTTGAGGAGTAACTGTATATGTATGTATATTAGACATTAGATTAATATATTTTAACTTTTATCTAAATGAATATTTAAAATGGTTTTACATTCCGAAATTGTTTCCTGAATTTTTACTGCATACGTATGTAAGTATTTATATATATTTTAATGACAGCAATTATTACTAAGCTGCTGTAATTTTTGTACTTTTTATTTTATTCGTTGTTTCAAACTAAAATAGAACCTTGAAATACAAAAACATAAAATTTTTCTTTTTTTCAAGCACGTACATATGTATTTATTTAATTGCTTATTTCAGGTACAAAATAAATTACGCTATAAAATTCAGTTCAGAAATCATATATATATGAATGTATGCATGTGCATTAGGGTTATATATATATATGTATAATCATCAACAAATCTACAAGTTTGCGACATTTTATATATATAGTGAACCATATAAAAACTGGGACGCGACATTTTAGCAAGTTTTGGCTATTTTTCTTTAGTTTATTATTTTGTATGAAAATCTAGCTGATTACTTGAAAAACATGATATAAATCCAAATTTCAGACTTTGTGGAAAAATTATGAAAATTCTTCAAAGTTTGACCAAAAATTCATTTTTTAATCGTTATCTTTACCCAATATTTTGGTATGCAGTTTTGTAACCTATTAAATTTTAGTATAATAAAGAGCAAAATTGCAATTTCGGTGCGGTACAAAGTCTGTTTGATTTTTTTTATATGAATACGATTAATAAGTTGGAATTTTCATAATTTTTGCACAAAGTCTGAAATTTTGATTCATATGATGTTTGTTAAGTAATCAGCTAGACTTTCAAACAAAATAATAAACATTAAACACTAAACTAAAGATAAATAGCCAAAACTTGCTAAAATGTCGCGCCCCAGTTTTTATATGGTTAACTATATATATTAACCTTAAATGAAAATAGCCCAAAGTAGACAAATGTCGCAAACTTGTTAATTTGTTGATGATTATACATGTAGGTATACAAATGTACCTATGTATGTACATATTTTTAAGCACTTCTGTTTTTACAGGTACACATTTGTGATCAAATCAAAATTAAGAATTCAGTCTTATTTGTTACAAAAATACATATACATACAACATATGTACTCGGATGCAAAAACTTTAGTGACAAAATAAAAATATTTAAACAAAAGATTCACGTTAGAAATCGGGCTCGAGTTTTAACTCCATGACAGTATTAGTTATAATTTGCATTGCTTTTGTTTGCTTGGTATCGCTCATCTCGCTTATCGTGGCGATTATCATCTCCCCAAAAGCACGTACGGCCTTGTTTTCATTCTGCCGATCTTTGTGTACTTCTTTGTACATCTGACACACCTCTTTAAATTCGTCGTCAGCATCATTTGTCCTATGCCTTTTTCTCGGCAATTTTGTTGATGATTGTGGCGTTGATGCCACTGGGTCACCAGCCGGAACATCTAGAAACTCTTCTTCTATCGGGAACAATATCAGCGATCCAGGCGATGGCAATGAGGACGAGCTTTCCTCCAATACGTTAAAGGTACATCGAGTTCTGAAATTTATATGCATTTTGCATGTGTATAAATGTGTATAAGTACATATGTTAACATATATGTATGAATGTACATATTAGCATGGTAAAACTTTACGCTAATAAAGAAATTACTTACGGTCTTGGTTTTACGAAAGGTTTCAAAAAACTCAAGCTATCCATCAGCGGCCAATATACCTGAGTTGTCGCCCCACTTCCTGATGGAGCATCCATCTTCCGTAGCTCCCTCGAATACCGCTCGTGCAGTGAGATCCACCGCTTGTTGCACTGGTCCCCTAAACAATTAAATTATCAGGCTTTGATATCCTTAAATTTAATAAATAACTTAACTACCTGTCTTTCCAAGCTCCCGTGCTATTTCAGTCCAAGCTGCCACTTTTCTGTCGGACAATCTGTAGCCCGTCATTGTTTTATTGTATAAAATTTCTTTGGAGCGCACTAAATCAATTAATTTCTCGTCATCCATCCTATTGCAAAGCAAAGAACATAATTTAATATATGAAATGACTATTTTCATCTATAAATATAACTTACATTTTGTTCATATCAAAATTAGCGCCAGAAACCAATTGAACGAATGAAAAATAAATAGAACTGTCAAAGTGTGAAATGTTATTTCATTTTACGTAGCACAGAAATCAAAATCCAACAGACTTCCATGTTTAGCACTGTTCGTTTATGTGTTGGCTAATCTGTTATATACACAGCTCATTAAACAGATTTATTATGTGACAGATCCCAAAGCATGCAATGCACTGCCAAGTATGCATAACAGAGCCTTAAGTCACTGACATAGGGAGAGCCGATATAGTAGACGTAGCGGGCTGGGTAAGCATAGCTCGGCGAGACGACGCAGGAGCGGCAGCAGCGATGCCCAATGTTGACTTCGCGCCGACTGCATTAGTGAAACCAGCATTGAGAGGGGCAGCGGACGACGACGCTGCCTGGGCAGCAGAAAGCGAACTCGGAGCAGCAGACACACATGGATTCACAGCAGGCAAAAGAGCATACGTGTTAGACGACAATGCACTTTTAGCCGAACAATTATTCGCTTCATTACTCTCCCTTACACCGTTGGCACGAGATGGGTTGAGATTCTTAGATTTACAAACAATTGTACGTAGGTTTTTGATTTCCAATGTTAGCGTTGAGATGTCAGTGTCTTTGCAATTTAGTTTAGCTTGCATTGAGAGAACATCGGCATGTAGGGCATCAGATTTTTGCATTAATTGCATTTTGTCTTCATGCAAAGAGTTAATTAGAGATATAACACGCGCGTTCTCTGCTCTAAGAGCGGCGATTTCTTGCACAACCGTATTCAATGCTAATTGTAGCATATTATTGTTCTCATTCGGGTTAGAGTTCGATTTGTTTACTTGGGAGTGTAAAGGTGTGTTTATATTTTCCTCAGCGTTCGCATTAACTGCAGGTTCAGCAACAACACCTTCATCCAAAGCAACGGAAGACGGGAGCGAGCGAAGAGATGCACGACGCACATCCATACACACTTTACAATAGAATGGACTATTTGACGAGTTCAAATAATCAACATCGGCTGGTTTCAAGCCAACACAAAGCAAATGAAAAAACTCGTTGCAGTTTGTGCATTGCATTTTTGGTTTAGCGCGATCAACCTTTTGTTTACAAAAGCAAGGCATTGCTAATATTATTATTATTAAATGCCGAAAGCAATTCAATCTAATTAATGTCACCAAGAGTCACTGTCTCATTATATGATTTTTACCACATTAATAGATATGTATAAAATTCACTTTAAACTCAGAAAAAAGCCAAAAATAGCAGAGCTATAAAAAACACGTCCGAGCTTTAGCGCGCTTGCACACAAATTTGCTGCGCGAATACCAGTGTTTCCGTACTTTCTATGACCTGTGATCCAATCTTCATGCATCGCCATGCGCCGTGTAGCACCAGAGTCAATATACGAGCTGTTTGCGTCGAATTTGCACCGAATGCAAACAAGGCTTTGCTTCTATCTTTTGAATTCGTTACTTTGTTCGAAGAGTTGGGTTTCTTTTTGTCAGGACATTCAAATGATTTGTGACCCTTCTGCTTACAAGAATAGCAGGTAATGGTAGTTTTCTTGTGGAAACGTGAATGATTCTTTGCCAAAATGGCATTTTCATCACTCGACTACGCGGACATGTCTTGCAACAATTTAGTTTTAATTACATCACTTGAAAGGTACTGGCCCATACCTTCAAGGGCCATAATAAATCTTGTATATTCCTCAGGGAGCCCGCACAACAGGAATACGGCTAACGAGGCGTCGGTAACTGTGAAATCTAAGTCATTCAACGTTTGGGCAGGACATTATATCACTCACATAGACCTCCATCGATTCGCTGGTTTCTAATTTCGTACTGATTATTTTTCGCATTAATGTAACTCGACGAGCAGCGCACTTGTCTTCGAATTTAAATTAAATTTGCCCTAATTTCTGCTGCTGTTGCAGCCAACTTGATGTGTGCGAAAACAGTCCTATCGATGCTTAAGCTAATCGCTGCTTTTCTCTCGCACACCTTTCTTGGTCAGTTTCGGTTTGATTAATCTTCAAGTGCAAGATAATTTTCAATAGAAAATTTTCATGATGCATAGTTTTCTCGTCCTTTAAGTTTTTCGATTGACGCTAATATTGAAGTCGACATATCTAGCCTTGCTTCGATTGTATTATGCGCAATTATTACACTTTTAGACGATTCGCCTGTATACCTCGCTTTTACTTGATTTCCTTCCTTTTCAACCTTGACTGATTTCCTGCCGCTGCCTTCGCTTTTGCTCATATGTGCACCGACAACAGTAGTTGGTGAAATATCAACGAAAATTAATGCAATCCTCGCTTCTCAAATTAAACTGCGTATTTTAAATTAATTATCTTTTGGGCTGGGCCCATAACCTAAAGTTATTCGCAAATAAAAAGACCAATACATTTTATTTGGTATAAAATACGTCTTGCCTGCTTGGCTATTTATTCAAGGAGGAAAATGTCATAATACAGTTGACAGTTATGTTTTGATCTGAAGATGGTGTAAAACAAAATGAGTAATAATGTCAATGTGGTAATTCTATTACGATATTTCAACAGGTACATACCAAGTGGTTGCTGTAAGTCGTCTTCGTGTGCGA